AACAAGCCTCCCAAGAGACCTCCGTTACCCCCGTGTGTACATGGGAAGATAAAGTGCCAGGGGACTCTCTGTAGGTGAAGGGGGTGAAAGTGAGCAGCAAGTTCATCTGTTGGAATTCCCCCAAGGGCCTTTTCCCTTGTTTGACATGGCCAAGGAGTTGCTGAGAGGTGTCATCCCTCTGCCCATGACATTTGAAAATTGCAGGTGGCACTTTATGGTCTCTTCACATGGCTTATTCACACCTAGGAGCTTTGAAAATCAATTTCAAAAGGCAGAGACACGGGTTCCTCTGTATCCAATGGTGGCAAGTTCAAGTTCAAGAGGGGTTTTTTTTGGTTTTGTTTTGTTTTTGTTTGTTTGTTTTGTTTTTGGGCCAGGAAATGAGCTCCAGGAAAATGCAGAGTCAGGACCAAGAACTAAGCTCTGGGTGTGAGGCCCCTCTGGCCATCAGCTGCACAGATGACTTTCTCATGAGGAGTCTCAGTGTCTCTATCATCAAATGCGGCCATGCTGGTGACAGCTCTAAACTGCCTCTTCTCAAAATCCCCTGAGCTGTCCCAAAAGGTTGCATCATCTCCTCCCAGACTCCCTCCCTGGGGGACCTCAGCCAGGCTCCTGCAAGGGGTCCCAGGGGCTGGACTGCCTTCATAGCTCCTGACTCATCCTGGCCTTGGGAAAACCGTCCAGGATGCAGACTGGGGGGAGGGGCCATGTGAATCCTCTTCCGCTCTCCACCTCCAGAGAAGAAGACATCATTGTGAGTCTCCTTGTGAGTGCAGGGCACTGTGCTGGAGCCTCATGGATCCAGCCCCTCCGTCCCAGCCCACGTCCTGTGTCAAGACTGGACAGTCATCCTCAGAGGGAACTGTGAACTACTCTAATGCACATCTTTGTTTGTCAGGCAAATAAACACGGAAATGTAAGCTCTACAGGGAAATTGTTGGTGTGTTCCCCTCATTGCCAGCTCACAAAGCTATAAGCAAGATTTGTTTTGTTGGAGAAATGAAATCTTGCCATTTGTGATGATGTGGATGGAACTAGAGGGTATTATGCTGAGCGAAATAAGTCAATCCGAGAAAGACAATTATCATATGATCTCCCTGATATGAGGAATTTGAGAGGCAACGTGGGGGCTTGGGCTTGGGGGGTAGGGAAGGAAAAAATGAAACAAGATGGGATTGGGAGGGAGACAAACTATAAGAAACTCTTGATCTAACAAAACAAACTGAGGGTTGCGGTGGGGGGGTGGGGGGGCATGGGGGGTGGGGGATAGGGAGAGGGTGGTTGGGTTGTGGACTGTGGGGAGTGTATGTGCTATGGTGAGTGCTATGAAGTGTGTAAACCTGGCCATTCAGAGACCTGTACCCCTGGTGCTAATAATACATTATATGTTAATAAAAAATTAAAAATTAAAAAAAAAGAATGTGAGGTTTAGATGAGTAAACATTGCTACTGAAGAAAAAAAAAATTTGTTTTGTTGGTTCACCTTCCTGCTGAGGCAAATCACCCTGATGATTAGAAGAGAAGCCAGAGGTGGAGGAGGGAATGGGATGGGTTACTGAGGATAAATGTCAATGAGATGCCCAGCAGTGGAAACCCGATTTCAAGAAATAGGAATGACATCACCCCAGCCATCTGAAAGGTCAACCCTTCATTAGGTGTCAGCAGTTTGCTTACTTGGGATGTTGTTGAGAGGAAAATGAGTCATTTCGTATACCCTATCTTTTAAGACTTTTAGGTATTTACTGAGGGCCAGAACTGGGTTGCCTGAATATTTTCAGAAGTAAATATGACTCATGAAACCTAAGATGAGAAGCATAGAAAATGCTACTTAGGCATGCCCATGGTCCTTGGCTTTTACCTCTACTCTCTGAAGGCCGCCAAATGCCAAATGTCAGTCCCTGACTTTGCACCTGACTTAGCCAATGCAAAGGGCAACGTGGAAAGCTGGAGAGGAATGGGAAAGTGGGGATGAAGCCAAGCCAAGCCCTGGCTGGGTTTGGCTCAGCTTCTCCCCAAAGGAGGGGTCTTCTCAATTTGCAGTGAAGTCAATGGAAGCAGCCTCACCCAGGGCGGATGAAGAACCTGCTTCCTTACCCTGGGGCTGGGAGGACTCAGGGTGTACTCTCACTGTCCCCCAGAGGTCCCCATTGGGACCATTTAAAAAAATTTAAAAAGATTTTAGGGGCACCTGGGTGGCTCAGTGGGTTAAAGCCTCTGCCTTCCGCTCAGGTCATGATCCCACGGGATCGAGTCCTGCATCGGGCTCTCTGCTCAGCGGGGAGCCTGCTTTCCCCTCTCTCTACCTGCCTCTCTGCCTACTTGTGATCTCTGTCAAATAAATAAATAAAATCTTAAAAAAAATTTTATTTATTTATTTATTATTTAGTTATTTATTGAGAACCTGCATGCAGGTGGAGAGAGTCCCAGGCAGACTCTGCACTGAGCATAGAGCCCAACACAGGGCAGAGATCGCACAACCCTGAGATCATGACCTGAGCTGAAACCAAGAGTCAGACACAACCCACTGAGTCATCCATTCGCCCCTACAATTCAAATTTAAATTAGATTTCCTTCTCTCTTCTATGGGGAAGTATTTCAGGGTCTGCTTCTGGAGAAATCTAATCAAAGGCAATAGGATTAGTACCTAAGGAGTTCTAAATTGATCACATGACCCTGCTCCCGGAACTGAGTAACCAGGGAACCAACTGGCTGAAGAGGAGAGGAAGTTCTTGTCACTAGAAATGGGCAGGAGGGCCTGGTAACCATCTCGGAGGGGCCCCATCAAAGGGGGCTTCAAAAAATTAAAAGGCTGGCATAATTGTATTTACCAAGGTGATGACTACATTTTCTAAATCCCCACTCCTCCTCCTGTACCCTCTTACCCAGTAACCTTGAGCTAGGCACCCAGTGGCAGGGAGGTCACTGACCTGGGCAGAACACAATCTTCTGGCCCTCAATTTCCTTATTTGGAATATGAGTGAATTACCTGAGGCAGCATCTAGGGTCTCTATCAGTGTTGACATCCTAGGACTAGGTGTGCCAATTATGGAAGTAGACTTTGAATATAGGGGAGGCCATAGGAGGTAATCTGGAGGGCCTTGTGGGTCCTGCAAAGAATTCCGTCCCTCTCTGAGAATCGGTGTCCTCAGCTGCCATAAGATGACATCAAATGTCCTTCTCAGCAGTAACACCCAGGGTCTTTAGGTCCAGCCCCAAAGTCCCATTTTCCCTCATCACTGTGGCTTGGGTTGGAAACAGAGCCCAAATCCTACCCTCCTACCGATGTAACCATTGCCAAATATCTTCTTGGAACATCCCTGAGCCTCAAGCTACCAGTCAGGTTTGGCATTTGGACAAAACAAAGCAACAGAGGTTCTTTGTAGAGCTTCTTGCTCCTCTCCCTAGATCCCACAGCTAGTTCCCTCCACCACAGTTCTGAGGCATGAGGGCCTCCTTCATGCTCTGTGGCTTTCTCATATCCATGAGTCCCCATCTTCCCACAGGCTCTGTTCCTCATTAAAAGAATGCTAGGCTATGGAGAGGAGAGGCAGGGGCATTTGGGGGCAACCTGGTCTTCCCAAGGCCTATGAAGTCATAACCAACATTCTGCTCAACCCAGTTGGTGGCTGAAAAAGAAGGTCAAGGCCAGGATATCAGAAGGATGTGAAATCAATTAGGCAGTGTTCCAGCCACTGGGTGAGCCTAGTAAGAAGTGGCCTGGATGCTTCCCAGCCCAGATCACAGGTACCTGCCTACGCTGCCCCAAGAGCCCCACCCACATTAAGACCTCCCACCGGCAGGCAGCTTGCTGCCTAGTCTATGATTCCCGTGGCTTAGGAAGTATGTTGAAAACTATCTTAGAAGACTATCAGCAGGACCAAGGTTTGGTCTTAGCATGGAGACCCACGTGCTCTTGAGCCTTAGCTCTCCCACCTCTCAGCTCTGGCAGTTGAAACATAGGCATAAATACATGAATCTATGGCCTGTTCTCTGGTTATGAGCTTCCTCAGGCAAGAGCATAACTTAGGAAAATGAAATAAGAAGATATGGCCAGTCGGTTTCTTGTGGTGCTCTTTGGGTTGATTTGATTGTTCTACATATTCCTTTTTTTTTTTTTTTTAAGATTTTATTTATTTATTTGACAGAGAAGGAGAGAGCACAAGCAGAGTGAGCAGCTGGCAGAGGGAGAGGGAGAAGCAGGCTTCCCGTTGAGCAGGGAACCCCATGTGGGACTCGATCCTAGGACCCTGGGATCATGACCTGAGCCAAAGGCAGATGCTCAACTGACTGAGCCACCCAGACTCCCTGTTCTACGTATTCCTATGCTTCCCCACCACTTGCCAATTTTTGACAATACACATATGCAACTTTTGAAGCAATAACAGTTAAACGTAATTATTTAAAAGAGAGTTCTACACACATAGAATTTTTGTTCACTGTTTAACTCCATCTGACTACCTCATTGGAAGGAGTGTCCCCAACTTCTTGTCTTTAGATTGGAAGAGATCCCATAGCTCATTTGATTCCAACCCTCATCTTACTAATGAGGAGACTGCCTGCCCTGTCCTCACCCTTGGCCATGGTAACCACATTCCCCACTGTGAGCGTTCACGTTTCCCTCTTCTGATTTCCTCATCAATGAAAAGTTAAAGAAAACCCAGCAAAGCAATAGGAGATGGAGGGAAGGTAGTTCCTCAAGTAACTACCTTGAGGGTCACATTTATGTCCTTTAAAAACATCAGTCTGAGCCGCCTGGGGGGATTAGTGTGTTAAGCGTCAGACTCTTGATTTTGGCTCAAGTCGTGATCTCAAGGTCATGAGATCCAGCCCCAAGTCATAGGGCTCCACACTCAGTGGGCAGTGAGACTGCTTGAGATTCTCTCTCTCCCCCTATCCTTCTGCCCTTTCCCTCCTCTGCTCTCTCTTTCAAATAAATAAATAAATCTTTAAAAAAAAATAAAATGAAAACATCAGCCTTTTTCCTCCTCTCTACTCACGGAGTCTTCCTGGTAGCTTGCAGATTCCCCCTTCACCCAGCAAGTTCATTCTAGCTTCACATCTGGCCTGGGTGCCCCGGGGTGGTGTGGCTGCCTCCGGCCTCACGGAAGAGCTGGCCAGTGCTCCCTCCTAGAAAGAGGAAAAACCAGGGCAGTCAAAAACAAGCCTTCTCAGTGAAGGCTCGGTCATCCTTAAATGTATTAAGAATTTTTCTTAAAGGGAAAGAGCATCCATCTCTGCATCTATCTTAAAGGTAGGAACCAGGTGGGGGCACCTGGGTGGCTCAGACAGTTAAGTGACTGCCTTTGGGTCAGGTCATGATGCCAGGTCCTGGGATCGAGTCCCATGTAGGGCTCCCTGCTCAGCGTGTAGTCAGCTTCTCCCTCTCCCTCTGTTTCTCTCCCCTGTGCTCATGCTCCCTCCCTCCTTCTCTCTCTCTCAAATAAATAAATAAGAAATTTTTAAAAATTTCAAGGTAGAAACCATGTATGTCTTCAGATTGGTAACTTCAACATTTTGTACAGAGTGGACACATGATAAATTTCATTTTTCTGATTCAAGTTCTTCATGCACATGCCTCACCCCACAGAAGGCTCCCTGCCAAGATTTGACTTGTAAGCTGGAAACTCAAGAGCCTAGAAATAGTCACTGGGACCTTGGTGAGAGGACACAAGGAACCTGAGGGGCCAGGATACAGAGACCTTAAGTCAGAAATAAATAAACCAACAAGTAAATGCTGTTTTCAAGGGAGAAAAAGGAAGGGTACATTTCTGAATCCCAAGGTCCCACCAAGGGAAGCCTGTATCTTTACAATTTTACCACCAGCTTAGCCTCAGAGAGGATATGGTTCATGCTTCAGGACGGAGGGATGAAAAAAGTGACAGGAGTAACCTTGGGGCTTATGCCCAGCCACAGGTGCCAGCCCGTGAAAAGCAAAAGTGAAACCAGTCCCAGCAAGTCATTTTCTCAAACTAAAATCTTCAAGAGAATTACATTAATCTCTGGATGTCCGAGGACTGCAGCCTGCAGTGAAAGACTGGGGGTCTGGAACCACAAAACAGAGGGGGATTTAACACCTTTTGGGGTAGTTCTCACCATGTTTCAGGCTGACCCCCACTACACCACCTCCCCCAATGCTGTATCCCAGGTAACCCAGCTTCAGAGGCTACCGCCTGAGAGCAGCGCATGCCCAGTCGGAGAAGAGTCTAAGGTTTCACACTTGCAGGAAGCCCCTTGTGGACCCTTCTACCCTCTTCCAAGCATGATGACCGGCCAATTCCGGGGTTTTCACTGCCTGGGAAATGCCAGCCCGGGAGCTACTGAGAGAGCTCTGGGCTTCAGCATGAAAGCCAGGGCGAGGTCTGATAAAAATATGGATTTGGATTGGAGGTGGGAAGGGGTCCCTGCTCTGGGGCGGTTCTGAGGCTGCTGGGGAAATATGGCAAATGGAGAAGGAATTCTAAGAAGTGGGGGCCCCTCTGTGGTGGCATTTGCCAGCGGTTCGGGTCTGGTTTGCGCAGGAACTTCCAGGGACGTCACAACTGGATGATGGTAGGGGTGAGAAGGAGGTAAGGAGGAGGTAAGGAGGAGCAGTATATAACACCGGGCGAAGGGTGGGGGGAGAGGGTAGAGGGAGCGTCGGAAGAGAGACAGTGAGGCCGGAGGTGAGTGGGAAGGGAGGGCTGGTGAAGGATGGATGGTGAGGTTTGGGAATGCGTTTGAAAGTGAGATTCCAGCCAGGAAAAAGTTCTGATAACATGAGTACAGAAACAGAGGTCGTGGGGGAGGGATTGGGGGGAGGGGGCGGGGAGGGCTTCGAGTGCGCCCGGCGGGGTTCCTCCGCCAGGCTCTTACCTGCATTACAGGTGGAGGTGAGACAGCCCCCCGCCGTCAGTCGTGAGCGCTCCCCTGGCTGCGGCTGCTCAGCGCGCTGAGCCCCTCCTTCCCTCGCCCCTTAACTGGGTCCCCAAAACTGGAAGGTCACGTAGGATGAAATCTCTTTCGAGAAGTGCCCTCGGGTTTCCCGGGCCAGGAAGGTCTCAGAGCGCTCCGGTAATCGCTATCCTTCCGGGAAACGAAAACGAAAGAGCGGGATCCGGCTTCCACTCCCGCCCCGGCCGGCTCCGGGGAGGGCAGGCGCCGGGCCCTGCGGGAGCGCAGCGGCGGCGACTCTAGGCTCGCCAGCCAGGAGCCGTTGGTCCCGCTCGCAGCCTCCCGCTAGAGGACGGCCCCTCCGGCAGCCTGGCCCTGGCTCCCAGGGGCACGAAGGTGAGATTCTGTGGAATCTGGGGAGACCAGGGAACCCTTGGTCCTTAGGTCAGGACAGCAACAGACCAACTTCATGTCATTCTTGTGTGTCTCCGCATTTGGATGGGAGGGGACCTCTTAGGTTGTCCGCCTGGACCAGGTGCCTCTCCCCTTCCTGGCCCTGACCCCAGCCCGGCCTGCCGTTGGGCCCTTTGGACGCATTACCATCCCAGCAGCGCCCCACTGTCAGAGCGGCTGTGCTACTCCTCCTGACTCCCGACCCTAGTACCCTGTGGATCCTGGCTAGAACCTTTTCCTAGGCCTCTGGCCACTCCAGACAAGCCACCACACCAGCACAAAAGAAGGAAACCTGAACCTTCTGCAGAAACTCCGAAGCTATAGATGCTGTTACAAAGAGGGCTTAGCACTGATGTAGCACGGGCTTCCGAAAACTAGTTAAGAACAGGGCCAGAAACCCAATAGAAAATGAGCAAAGGATATGAATAGGCAGTCCACATAAAGTGTTGAATGGCCCGGGAACATAGAAGACGCTCCTTATAAAAGATGTGCAAATTAAAGTTTTGGAGATATCAATTTTTTTTTTTGCCCGTTTTTTGGCAGAAATTCATACGTTTACTAACTTAATCTGCTGGAGAGGCTGAGGGGAACAGAGGACACTCGGCAACCCCACGGAAGGCAGTAAGGTGAGATCTGGCAAAAGTTATAAATGCACATCCCTTCACCCAGCAATCCCACTACCAGAAATGTATTCAATAAATCGACCTGCACATATCCAAAACGTACGTGTTATTTATTCCAGCTTGGTTTATGATAATGACTCATTAGAAGCAATCCGAGCATCCATTAAAAGGGGCTGATGAAATAGATTATGGTAGATCCATTTAACAGAACTCCATGATGATGGCAAGCTCTCCAAGGGGCAGTATAGCATAGCAGTTAAGAACCTAGACTCCGGGGCCTCTGGGGGGCTCAGTTAAGTGTTCAATTCTTCCTTTCTGCTCAGGTTGTGATCTCAGGGTAGTGAGATCCACCACTTCGGGCTCCGTGCTCAGCTCAGAGTCGTCTGGAGATTCTTTCTCCCTCTCTTGCTGTGCCTCCCCCCAAATAAATAAATGAATCTTTTTAAAAATGGGAACAAAAAGAACCTAGACACGAGGACAGCCTGGCTGTCTTGGAATTCCAGCTATGTCACTTCCTGGTTATGTGCCCTTAGATAAATTAGCTAACCTCTCTATAGCCTCTCTCCACTAACTGTGTCTGTTTCCTTAACAGTAAAACAGAGTGGGGCACCTGGGTGGCTCAAGCAGTTAAGTGTCTGCCTTTGGCTGAGGTCATGATCCCAGGATCCTGGGATCAAGTCCTGCATTGGGTTCCCTGCTCAGTGGGGAGTCAGCTTCTTTCGCTCTCTCTGCCTGCTGCTCCCCCTGCTTGTGCTCTCTCTCTCTCTCTCTTCCTGCGTGTCAAATAAATAAATAAAATCTTTAAAAAACCCCCAGTAAATCAGAGCTAATAATAATACCTGTCTCTTAAGGTTGCTATGAGGAGTAAATGAGTTAACATTTGTAAGACAACTAGAATAGTGCCTGATCACTATGCAAAGCAAAAAAATCATGGTACAGACAGAACAATGTGTACCACATGCTACCTTTTGTGTGTAAATGTGTATATATATATTTATATATACATATATATGTATTTATTTAATATATATATAAAAAGAAGCTCTGAAGGGATATGTAGCAAGCTTCTAGACATAAAGGGGATTCAGGATAGAAAATAAGAGCAGGAGTTTTCATTGGAAACTTTTTAATGTTGTTTTGATTAATGCCTATCAAAAGAGTAAAATAAAATAAGAAAGATGTTTTTAGCATCCGTTCCATGCCAACAAGCCAAAACTTAGATAATGATGGAACTGTATAGGCACTGCCTGAGACAAACTGAAAAAATGAGGACATTTCCCTTGGAAGGACAGAGGTGAGGCTCATATGATCAAAGTCTACAAACTTTTGAACCCATGTGAGCAGGAATAAGTGGAATCCCTCCTTCACAAAGAACTATGACAGGTATTGGGACAACTGGGTGGCACATCTGGTTAGGCGACTGGCTCTTGATTTTGGCTCAGGCCATGATCTCAGGGTCGTGAGATTGAACCCCTTGTCTACTCTGCACTCAGGAAAGAGTCTGCTTGTCAGTCTTCCGTCCCCCTCTGCTCCCTGTGCCCCTTCCCCTGCTCTCTCTCTCTTTCTCTCTCTCAAATAAATAAATAAATAAATAAAACTTAAAAAAAAAAAAGAAATACACACAGGTGTTTCATGCTCAAAAAATAACAATATTTGTTTCATTTTTAAAATTATTAATTTTTAAATAACACTCTTCCTACAAAGAACTCAAAATGTATATATAGAACTTCTAGTTTATAACTTTCTTAATACTTATAATACTTCAAAAAGGGGGAGGGTTGATGAGGTAGAGAGGTAAAAGAACAGAGTCCTGCAGATGTGGACACAGGCAACAAGGGTGGGGCCAACAGGTGGCAGGAGGGCCCGGTACCCTGGGAAGGGCCAGGAGAAAGCACCCATTTCTGTGTCCTCTGCTTTGAGGATGAGATTCAGTTTCACTCACAGAAGAAAATGCTTAAGATTTCCTGACAAGGAGCCCTGGGGCCATCCACGGCACCGGTGTTTTCTAAGTGGCACGGCCTCCTTGGGCTTTCCTGTGAGGCATCACAAACATCTCATAGCGGGTCTCTCTGCACAGACACCCAGTGAGTCGGCCGTTCTCCAACAAACCAGGCGTGAACCAACTGTGACGGGTAAAAAGAAAGGGAGAGGAAGGGTCTTCTTCCTTCTGTTCCAGGAGGATTCTCGGTTTCTCAGAGGAAAGCAGAAGTTGGCAGGTACATTCTTCTTACATCAAGTGTTTGTTCCAGAGAAAGCATAGCAACACATGGACTCCTCCGAAGAAAAGCAACATAAAATGAGCCAGTGCCTCCCTGACTTCCTGTTGAAGATCCTGTTTGAGAAAAGATTGCAAGAGGTTTAAAAAAACAGCAATAGAATAACCCAAAGAAAGAAATTCAATATTAAGGTTAATTCAGTGAGGGAAATCTGAGTGGCTCAGTCAGTTAAGTGTCTGCCTTCCGCTCAGGTCATGATCCCAAGGTCCCGGGGGACTGAGCCCAGGTTCTGTGCTCAGCGGGGTGCCTGCTTCTCCCTCTGCCCCTCCCCTTGTGTGTGTGTGTGCGTGCGCGAGCACGCGCGTGTGCCCACACACACACTCACACACACACACACACACTCTCTCTCTCTCTCTGACAAATAAAAATCTTAAAAAAAAAGATTAATTCAATGAATGCCACAAACAAGCTCCTTGGACTGCTTTATGAATTGTATGAGCAGGACAATATCTCGGTCTATTTTGTAAGCTCTGCACCTCTGGAGTTTTCCTCTGGATGTCTTTTCCCACGTTAATAACCATCAGCGAACTGGGGCATTCTTTTCAGGGCTAATAACCTCTTCCTCTGACTTTGCAGAGCCCTTCCTTAGTCCTCTCAAAGAAGCAAGACATTTGCTTTGGGGTTGGAGGAAAGGATAGGATTTAGGTGAGTTGGCGAGGGGGGGGCATGAGCGAAGTTGGAGGTGACAAAGAGCACAGGAGGGGTGCGGAGCAGCACGGAAATGCCACTGTTGATTTGTGAACATCAAGAGACGAAGTTCTGAGGGTCCAATCCAAATGGGTCTCCGTCCCTGCCCCTCCTCCTGCGTTTTTTTTCTCAACCCAGCAGCTTTGGGGTCGGGTGGGGGGCTCTGCTTGGAGCTCTCCAATGGGTCTGCCTCAGTCCTCAGGGCCCCGCCTAACCTGCCCCCACCAACCGCTCTGACCATATTTTTTACTACTTTGCCCTTACTCAGCCTCAGCCACACTGCCTCCTTGCTCTTCTTCAAACTTGCCATTGGCTCGTGCCTCAGAGTCTTTGCTTTCCACGTGCCTGCAGGTATCCACGCTACCTCCCGTACTTCCGTCAAGGTTTTGCTCCGAAGTCACCCTCTCACGAAGGCCTTCCCTCCTCTACTTAAAAGTCTAAATCCCCCCATATTCCTCACTCCTTCCCTTACTTTATTTTTCTCCACAATATTTACCTCTGTTTGATAAACTATATATTTTATTGGTCTGCTTATAGTTTGTCTCCCTTTTAGAATATCGACTGCATGAGATCAGGGAGTTTTGTCTCTTCTATTTATTTCTATTTATTTATTTATTTATTATTATTTAGTATATTATTTATTTATTTTTATATTTATTTATTTAATTTTTAAAAGATTTTATTTATTTATTTGGCAGAAGGAGCACACACACGGGGAGAGGGGTAGAGGGAAGAGGGAGAAGCCCACTCCCCACTGAGCACAGAACCTGATGTGGGGCTCAATCCCCGGCCCCTGGGATCATGACTTGAGCGGAAGGCAGATGCTTAACCCAATGAGCCACCCAGACACCCCAGTTTTGTCTCTTTTAATCTCTGTCGTATCTCCAGAACTTAAACAGATCCTGACATGGAGCAGATGCTCAATAAACATTAGTGGAATGAATGAATA